CATGCCGAAAATGTTCGTTTTAATTATAATCTTTTGTGAAAATAGATTTAAAATTCATGCATATAAACGCACAATAATGTACATTTTGTGTGCTTCAGTTAGGCATGTAAGAAACCAGTACTCATGTTTTCGTTATACTGTAATCTACAGTAAAAATACAACAATATTTAAAGAATGTCAATTCATATACAGATATATTCTGTTAATGCCACTTATGCGCCAAACTGTACATTCTACGTTTGGTATCGTGATCAAAAACAAAAACATAAACTTAGTTAGTGCATATCAATATAGATGCGAGATTTGCGTGGTTTAACCTATTATGCGCCACCTCATATTCAATCTCAAGAGAATTTCTTAGAACTCAAAATTACAAATATTTCTTAACTCTCGGGCTATGTAAATATAATTACTTGTTATTTGATTTTAGTTTGTTTTTAGAACTTAACCTATAGTTGCTATACATTTATGCATGGAATATTTCAAAATCTCTGTGTAATAAATGGAATAACATAACATAATAAAGAAAGAATTACGTCTAGAAAAAGGACACGAATCACGCTTATACAAGTTGTTTCCACAACATACCTGGTAAGCTGCTGCACACCTCAAGCAGATGGAGAATGAAACTGGTATTCATGCTATTCCATAAGAAGACATACGAGTCAAGTCGTGCTTGTACAGTAGATGGATTATGGAAAGCAAGCATGGTGGAGTGGTGTGCTTTGGGTGTGACGGCATCACGACGGATCCTTTCGCAATGAAAACTACGCTGCATGACTGTTCTCAAGATGCATAGTTGTCAGATCGAGCATAGCCGTTCGTAGTGAGGCTCCAAAATCGTTTTAGTATACGGTAACAACCTCTATATACTAATAATGGCTGGAGACGGCTTGAATGGGTAATGAAGAAAAACTTTAATATAAGTTTAACATAACCGCAAATGTACAACGTTTCGACAAGGTTTTGTCATTATCAGGTACCTAAACTTATATTAAAGTCTCCAGCCATTATTAGTCTCAAAGTGGGTTCCTCGTCATCGAATTTGAACCTCTATATACATTTATTAATTATACAAGTATTAATGTTAAATAATAATTAACAATTACTATTTTTAATTGATGACTTTTAAGAATATGAAAATAAACATTTTTCTTATTGATTTTCAACAAATACCGCTAAGACCAAAATAACTATGACATTTCTCATGGATGTTATAGTTTGTATCTTGGCACATTTTGTTTTGTCTTTGATTTCCTATTTTTGCTTCAAGTTGGGTCTATTTCAGGTAATATTTCCCAAGTGTTTGTATTGGCGGATAAAAGCACTATTTTTTTAAAATCAATATAATAATTTCTAAACTTCTTAATTTTTAGGTCAAATTATTTTATCATAGGATATTTGTTTCTAATGTCTTGATATATCTATATTGGAACCATGAGCCAGAACAAAGAAAACAAACTTTTGTAATCAATAACCCAATCTGTAAATTAAAAAAAAAAAACATCAGTGCAGGTATAAATGCTCAACCTTTAAGTACGCTGTTATTCACACGTTTACTATTCCTTTGGCAGCTTCTTGATGTCGTGGCTTGAGGCTATAGCTGCATTCAAAATACCGATTGTAAGTAAAAACACTTTTCATTTAAGGTCTCTGGTGGATTAGAAATTAAAAAAGAATTCAAATATTATAATGATATTGTATATCTTAAGTAATTATATTCCCCTTTCTTTAAGTTTTGTTCTTTTTCAAAACAAACCGCAACTTGCTTAGTAATCGATAGTTTATAAAGTGAAACAATAAATTCAATATTTATTCAAAAGTTTTTTATTTATAATTTTATTAGTACACGTGACAAACGACTATTCCTACACTTGTATCACTTCTATTAATGTAAAGTTTCGCATATTTATATCAGTAATTGCAATTGAACCATAAAGTACAGCTCGACAAAACACCACATACATAAACATCGCAGAACGTTTCTTACGAGCTCGGTACATTTTGTGAAAGTTGATAAATACCATTTACTTAAGCACAGGCCCGCTGGAAAACTTGGAAGTGTCAGATTTTTATTTAATTGCCACTTTAACGGACGCGACACCAAATGATTAACAATTTCAGCTACTGCTTCTTGTCAAAATATCTTAGCAAGGCTGGCTGTTTCTACTCGAGAGCTGTTAATACCTAATTGTGAATTAATAAACTAGATGGACGGCAACTAGTCAACAGCACCAACCGCCACCTTTTTGTCCGACCGACTAGTGAGATATGACCGTCATCCTTATAACTGCATATATGTCCCCAAAATGCGGAGTGCGATTTTTTTACCTTAATGGAACGCAAACATGGGAACCCGCAGATTCATAGTAGACATCCTAACCACTGGAAACACCTATGTTTAACAAATAAGCTGGACCTTTGAGAATTGACAATAAAATTTGTGAAGAAAGTATGTCGACAAAAAAAATGTAATTATCCCAATTCGACCTCGAACCCAAAATCTGACAAATACAGATGGTTATGATGAAATTGGGACATGCTAAGTTCTGATTACCGTTCATTGAAGCCATTTATATTGGTTTCTCACCATTTTTCAGTCTTCGGCTCACATAGGTAAAATAACTATAAATATAAATTTATTAGAAGGTGGTACATCAGGAGAAAAACGAGTGTTGTAATGGTACGGTACAGTTTAAAGGGAAGGGAATGTGGTGGACCACATGATACGTTTTGTGGAAAGATGCGAGGGATGGAAAGTCATGGACGGTGTGCTACGCCATGTGAAAAACTGCAATGGCCTTACATCACGTGTATGGTGTAAAAACAGTTTCCTTCAGATGAACGTTTTGTTGATATCATGTTCAGCCCAGATAACGAGTTCTGGTTCTGAACGAAAGGCCCCCTGATAATAATTTGTTATGGACGAAAGATGTGAAATGTGATTTTTATATACTTTTGAGTTGAAATTCACAGCGAAGTAATTAAAAAATATATGAAATAAAACATCTGTAGGCTATCGTGATTTTTAATACGAGTGTTAGCCCTAGTGGTTCCATAGCTTTCGTAGTTTAATATTGTAACATCGCGGTTTCTTGTAGAATCTACAAGCAGTATATATATATATATATATATATTGTAACGAAACATTTCACAGTCCCCCTTTCCAACATGATTACAAAAGTGAAGGTAAAGTCATCAAAAATCATATAATAATAAATTTTATGCAACTGAAAACGAACTTTGAACAACGGTACATATAAATCAGGCTTTAATGAACATCATAAAAACACAAGCTATATATCTTTTGTTTTAATTAGACACACAACTGACAGGAGTGAAACTGAAATCATGTTATTTCAACAATAAAAGTTGATAAAAACAATAGTTTCAAAATATTATAATTTGACGCGACTTCTTCCTAAAAAATAAGAAAAGAAGAGTAAATAACGGCGGACTTTGGGGGGGGGGGTGCACTGTACAAGCACCTTGTAGATCTCCATGGTAGATTTTAAAATAATATTATATTTCTAATGGCAAAATAATAAATATTGAAAACCACTTAACTATTCTTTACTCCGAGGTAATCCCTTCGACATAACAAAAATATTCCCTAAACTTTAAACTAAGGGGCGTTATAAGAATGACAGTCAGTCTCTTAGCGTGGCTAGTGCTGACTGGTTTGCAGTTCAAAATTAAGGACGGCAGCAAATAACCTCAGTAGCTTTGTCATAAATTCAAACTATCAGGTATTTTTAATACAGGGTTTCTTTTTGAAAGCCTATGTCTCTTTTATTAATAGATATTACTGCTAATTTCGGGTTAGTATTGCACGCTAACTTATGAAAAAGTTCTTCCATAATCTTTGTGGGTGGGCCATACAAGAATCCGACTCCCCCTCCTTTGTGCCCCAATCCTTGAATATACCTCCAAGTGTAATAGGTGCTAATTTTCACATATTTTGATACTATGGCTGAAAACCAAAGAGTTGTTTTTAAAATACATTATAACTTTTTTTTCTTCATTACTGTAAGATATACTGTGCATTGCTAGGAACTACTTAAATGTTTTAGTTAAATGACGGTAGAGATAGTAAAAACAATCCAAGCTCGAACTTACTGTAAATAGCACAACATTTCCAGTCTTGTCAGTGTGATTTGAAAATTCACAACAGCAGTTTATCTGTCTGTCTGTATTATTCATGGAGCTTACATGAATAAATATTAGAACACAGTTGTCAAATGTTAAGTAAAAGAATAATGTCTTAAGGAAAAAAAATACAATCCCTTATTGAAATTACACTAGATTAAGGCCAGACCATTCGACATATTGCTGTTATGTAGTCTAATTACCATTATACTGGTATAACTTTACAGTGTTTTTGTACAGGAATACTAAGATGTTGTTTAGTTGGTTGTTTGGTAGTTAAGCACAAAGCTACACAATGGGTTATCTGTGTTGTGCCCACCATGAGTATCGAAACCCAATTCTTTAGAGTTATAAGTCGCTGAGCCACTGTGGAGCGTAACTGAGCGAAACATCGCTCTCGTGAATGAATAAATAAATATATAAGCCCGTAACCTGATATAAGTATTCCATCAAAGCTCCAAGAAGACCGCGTTGTTGAACAGCCATTTGTGAACTTTAATTTTAATAAACAAGACATTTTAATCAAAACTACTTTGAAATACTATACATCCGGGTTATTACAAGGTCAAACTCGTATCCCTCCTTTTTCATGGAAAGTTGGCTTATATTTAATCAAACTTTAAATAATTGTATTCGATAGTGCTGCGCTCAGGTTTTAGGGTATAACATGGTATAATGTTA